ATTGAGCAAGAACAGCGATACTATTTATGTTCAGAAATGGCATGAAATTGATGGGGTATACAGACTGGTGCAATCACAAAATGTTTTTAGCAATGCTTAGAGGGCAGATGAAGATAGCTTTGTGTGAGAGGAGGTAAGACCGTATTGGAAGAGAGCATATTAACTATTGTTATTTTAAGCCTCACCTTTTCTTGTGCCACATTTCTTTCACCAATTTCATGTAACTTTTTGCCAAATTTGGTTTTTTGTCTGATCGCACAGAAGAAGTGCAGTCCAGGAAAAAATTGGTCAGCTGAGGACTTGAACAAAATGCATAGTAGTAAGAACAATTATTTATAAATGAGAATATAACTAAATACATAAAAAAAATTTCCGTAACAAAATGCTGAATATAAATGGAAATTTTTAAAACAATTTATCAACATTTTTGAATTTAATACCCTTTTGCTTTATACATTTACACTAATTATTTTGAAAATAATGCTGATTGAAAGCTGATAATTGAAGCATAAAAGTTTATTTGATGATTTGGAAGTAATAGAATCATAAGATAATTAAAGTCTAGGTCAAATCACTCCCCTGTTAGGATGACACATAGAATCTGGTGCTGAAGTCTGGCTTAACTGGCAACCATCTGACTACAAGTCATAAGTGCGAAGCCATTCTGCTTCCCCCATATGATTTACCAGATCTAAATTAACACTTTCTATGTGGGCATCTTTTTCTGTGCATATCATGAGGTTTTAGTTAGTTACATTCAAAATTTAATTAAGCTACTTTCTTATCATGGTAACTTGGTATAAAACATAGCTAATAATGTAACTTTTAATAATATATAAGCTTTAAGTTCTTAATTTTATATTGCAATATTAAAACAAAATTTCCTTAGTATGAGAATTGTGGCATTTTCTCTCTAGACATCCTCTCTTCTCTATTTACCACTCCTCCAAAAAGTAGGAAATTTAACATAAGTTACTAATTACAAAGCATAATTTTTATATCCTTCAATCTTATTTGGTTACAGAGCCATCAAATAGAAAATCAGACCCCTCTTGCCCATCTGTCACATCCTCTCTTTCAGAAATTGCCAATAGTTATCTTTGACATTCAAGACTATATTATTTATAACCTATAGGAAGACAAAGTTTTTATTTATCAAATGATGTATTACATTTCATTGTTTTCTGTACAGAGAATTCTCAATCATACTTTCAGTTCAAACTTTATTCCCACAGAAAACACATCGATGAGCTTAACTGAATTTTTAACAGCTTTTGTAATAGAGTTAGAAAGCCAGAAAAACTGATAGTTATGGGACATTGTCTGTTTTTGCAAGTGATTATTCTGTGTTCTTTAGTGCATTATTTAATTAGATAAAATATTATTTAGTGAACTAGTACCATTAGTATAAAAAAATAGGGTTAAGTGTTACTGGCAGTCAAAGGCATAAAAAGAGAAGACCCAGGTAAGTACTTTATTTCTTGCTTTTCATGTGTATTCTTTATGTATTATTACAAAAATAACTAAAATGTAAAATTTGGAAACTTTTTAGGTTAAATAAGTTAAAATAAATAATAATTTTTCACAAGGTATGCTTGTGAGTAGATCGTGAATTGTGTAATTCAATACTGTAACATGAGCTGCACATTTGCCTTGTGATTTATAACTTATATGGTGCAAATATTAGTTAGACATGGTTCAAAGGGCAACAAAACAATAAAATTTAAGTAAACATAGATGTATACTGTTACAAGTATAAAGCTATTTAGGATAAACAAATGAAGTTTCCTATTATAATTTTATACGTAATTCCATTAATATTTACTTCTACTAATACTCTGTCAATTAAAGGTTCTCTTCTTTGCCTGTCTAAGCAATGTTATGAATTCTACCTCACTTGCTCCAGTCTTTATAACTCACTGTATCGTCCATAGTGATCTTAATCCCGTGACTCTCTCCACCTACATCAATACCCAATCTGTATATAAGCTCACCATTATTCTTTCTTATTCACTTTATCAAGACTGATAAGATTATCAGATCTGAACACTGGCTATTGTAGGGATGAAGGGAAGGATAGTGAGAAAGGTGATAAGTATTACTGGAAATACATTTTCTGTATAGGAAAAATAGAAACTTCCAAAACAAACATTAGCTAGAATTCCACAATAACCAGGTGGAAGGGTCGGTGATGGCAAGATCCACACAGAAAGTGTCAGTGTTGAAAAACAAGTTTGCAATATTGAGATATAGTGAAGCAAACTATATTGTAGAACAGGTATGCTCTTTGCTCAGATAAAGTGAAATCTAAACATAGGCAGTAAGGGCCAACTAGCTACAAAGTCAACATTGTTGATTATCATGACATTCGTCCAGGCCCCAAACACACAATCATTATACAGCTGTGAACTCAAAGCTAGATCCAAGGTGTAGTGTAGGGCATGGTGACCACAATATAACTGTATAATAGAAATATAATATGAAGGGAACCCAACCTGAAAGTTAAAGGATGTTGTATGCCAAACCACCAGAATTACAAAGCAAAGGCAAGCAACATCTAAGTGGACAAACCCTCACACCAACCTGTAGAAACACAAAATGCAACAAACCAAATTCAGAATTATGTGCCCAGACACCTAACCTGAAAGTTACTGAATGTCACATGCAAGCCACCAGATTTACAAAGGGAAGTAAGCAACAACAAACAAGACAAGTCTTATCCCCAATCTGAAAAAGCTCAGAATGCAACAAGTCTAACTCAGAATTATGGAGCCAATTCACACCTCACTCACCCTAAATAAACAGAGATCATCTGGCATTGGGATTACAAAACGAAATCCTAACTCCTCAACCTGGGAGGCAAGATACCTCCTACACCTGGAATTATGAGGAGGATGTGAAACAAAGTTCAACCAATAGCTCATGGATGTGATGCTCCACGTGTAGAATTACGAGGAGTCAAGGATCCTCTTCCATGATTATGGAAAGTAAGAGAATGACCATAAAGAAAGGCCATGCTCACACAACCGGATAGTGAAATGTCATCTCAGAACTGGAATTATGAGGATCCTGCATAGGCTGGATCAGCTCCCCACCCAACATCTGGGAAAACAATCAAGGGTTAAGGGTGGGAGGGTAATCTGCTTTGCCGTCTTCTGTTAGAATGGAATAAAGTGTACAAACATCATTCAAGAGGAATAAACCTCTGTCCACCACTCCAGCAACTTGAAACTGAGAGTGGTAAGGACTCCCTTGCTCCACTAGAAGAAAGGGAGGGAACTCGCAGTTTCTGGGTGGTGTTCTTTATCAAATATCACATACAATACTGGACCACAACTCATGGACTATCATGAGTAAAGCATAAGGGGACTTGGCCCTTACCTGATAGCCCCTGAATTGAACACATCGAGGTTCATTTGTTTTTCAAAATAGGGAATGTGGTTCACTTATTGCACTGTCTCCAGAGCATTGTTCCTCAGGACTTCCCAAAAGTCAAGGCGGTCTCATGAAATACCCTATCTCAACTAGTGTGGATTTGTAAAAACTATCTGACCAGGCAACACTTGCCATTGAGTGGGATCCATATGAGAATGATGAGAAGGTCCTTGAAATGGAAATAAATGAAGTTACTCACCTCTGTCACAATCAAGCCAGGCCACGTAGAATAGCAATGGGGGGTAGCCAAAACCCATCCAAGGAGGAGACAGTCTATCTCATGTAAATAGAACGATATAAAGGTCTTCAAAGGAAAGACCAGAGTAAGTTATTCAAACCAATTGACAAATCCAAGTTGTCAAAGTGACACGGGATAAGTTGTGAGAAACTGTAGGATCATAATGGATAAAGAACCTGTGACATAATCCTTGAAATAAAAAAAGTTAGAATGGTACAGTGTCTTCTGAACATAGAGTGCAAATAACAGAAGAAAAGATGTTTTAAGTGATTGATGATATAGTGAACTTGATCCTAATGATTCAAAAGATGGACATGATAATGCATGAACAATCACTGTTTTATCCCAGTTAGGAACCTGGAAAGGACAATGAGGATGGATAATTTGAAATGATTTGAAAAGTAATGACAAAACTGGGGACTCAAAAACTTTTGTTTGTGTAGAAAAATGAAGAGGAGCTGATGAGGCAGCCTAATACAGGGCAATAGACGAAAGTTAAAGGCACCAAACCTTTGTCAAACAACCATGTCAAAAACTGAGAGACATGTTGCACAGTGAGATGCGAAGTTTAACACCCATGTTTGAGAGACACTGACAAAAAGTAAATCATTTCCTTTGATAGACTTCCAAAGAAGAATGTTGAATGGAATGTGTTAGTAAGGCATGAAGTTGAATAATGCTAACTGCTGAATGAAAGAAGTCCAACCGAGGCTGAAGTAAGAGAGATGGCCAGGGAGAATGGGGAAGAGGCTGACACTCTTGAAGCTACTGAAGGAGTGGAAACCAGGGCTGACCCAGCCAATATGGTGCCACCAAAAGAACCTGGCAAGACATAAAGTGAATCAGTGCTAGAACTGTAGAGAGCAGATGAATCAGAGGGAACACATAAAGATGAAGACTCATCCAATTCTGGCTGAGAGATTTCACTCCCAAAACCAGAAGGTGAAGTACTGGAGACCAGAAGAACAGGAGCTGAGCTTACAATGTGTGGCAAAAGCCTTGATCTGTGGTGTCCCAAGACAAGAGCAGATCCAACAAAAAAACCTAAAAAAAAAGCTTGGGGAAGGTGGTAATGCTTCACTTAAACAATTTCACAGTAGTCTCATCCTTTTCAAAGCAAGAGGACACTCACTCCAGATCTCTTTGTTTTTGAACAGTGATTTTCTTGGGCACACAAACACCAGATTGTTCTCTTTTCTTGTCATGTTCCAGGGGTAATGAATCTAGTGGCAGACCAAGTTATCTCGTCCAACAGAGCTCTTCCTATGGGATGGACTGGCAATTCGAGAGCCTGAGTCATTGCTCGTTGAACTGCTAAAAGTTCTAAGAGATTGATGTGGAGAGAAGCTTTCTCTACAGTTCAAAGTTCCTTGAATTCCATATTGTTTATACAAGCACCCCAGACCTGAAGAGAAGCATCAGTGAACAGAGGTATCTCTGGCCATGGAGGTGGTAGAGACACTTACAGTTGGGTTGACTCTGTTCCACCTCCAGCTGAGATCCAGCACACTGGAATCAGACAGTCTCACTGGAAAATCAAGCAGATCTGTGCAAATGTTTCACTGGTCCCATAATGACCACTAAAGTGCACTCATGTGGGCCCAACATAAAGAAATGAGTGATTTC